GTGGACAAAGCCAATGTAACATTTGCATATGTGGCCCTTGTGTTCAATACTTTATTTGTTGTGTTGTCTTGCAGGTGGGTTTGACACTGCAGCTTGAACAGAGTCACCAGTGCTGTAAGGAGAGAGGTCATGAGATGAGAGAAATCACCCTGACTTGCAGTAAAAACTCCCCAACCCACTTCACATACAGGCATGTCACATGCTGCGAATGCAAGGTTGAAGGTTAAGATTGCCTGACATACATATGCATGAAAATCTTAGTTAATGTTACATGTGATTAACTTCAGTGTGTGTGTGTGTGTGTTGAATATGCACAGTTAATAATTAGCTGCTGATGTTTGGGATGATTTAGTTTCAAGCCAAACGAACACATTTCTGCAATTTGTACTTTTCAGTATATTTCAAGTGAATCAGCTTTATCGATTGTCAGTCATCTGTCTGTGCCAAAATCAATGCTTTTTATTGTTATATAATAATCACTATTTTATTTTGTTTTGCCATAAACCTACTGCTATTATGTGCAATATATTTAAATTATTACTTTAATTTGAACAGTTTTATAGTTTCTGACCATGACAGATATGAATAATGCCATATCTGTACTCTGAATGTGATTTAATCACCAAATCAAACTTGTGATTGTAACCTGATATCAGGTGTCAAGGCCTCAAAGTGAAGGGTCATTTCTCAGGCACAGGAACTAGAGTGAAAGTTTTCACTGTTCAGTAAACTACACACACTGTTTCCAGTGACTGCACTCACCCTGGCCATACTTAAATTGGGCTTGACTGGGCTGCAGCCCATGGGTCCCCGCCTTTACCAGATTACATTTGTTTGATTTGTTCAGTTATATACCAGTCAGAAATTATTAGATGCATTTCCACTGTGCATGCGAGGGCTAACAGCTTCCATAATCAAACAGCATAAACTGGTATTTATGATTATTTCACATAGAAGAAGGACACACGAACTGAATCACGTCTGCGGCGATTCATTTGTGATCACATAATGTGATCGCTTTAATGTTAAAAAAACACATTATTTTTCAAATGCTGTACATTATTGTAGTTCCTCTATGCCCCGCCTCTCTCAAACGCGTCATTTTCTACAAAGCCCCTCCTTCCTCACAAATCCGAACATCTGGGTTGTGCTGTTCTGTTGTAAATAAATCTTAACCAATGATTCCTCATTGCATCTACTTTCAGAAGGCAAAATAAAGTGCTTTTGCTTTCGCACAGAAACACACAGCGTCTCCCTGACATTGCTGCATCAACACTACTGCGGTTCCTGAAACCATGCCTCTTTTCTTTGCATGAACATTTGAGCGGCATTAACCGGGGCCTCTCAGTGCTTCTACCCGTTTGAGGTGAGAACACAGGAGGGGGGGAGTCGCCATTCTCCCGGGAGCGCAGCTCGAGATAGCTCGTCAGCTGCCCGGTTGAGCAGCCCAGGAATGTGAACAGCACGAAGCGACCTCAGATGCTTCTGACTCCAGTGGAGGAGGTGGCGGGCTAGTTGTGAAGGGGTGAAGGTTTGGCGGCAGGCCGATGTCACTTGGACCCAGTGAGTGCCGCGTTGCCACGCCCACCTCGGGACTCGGCCATGGAGCCAGTGCTGAAGCGGTCTCATATGAAGCAGCCCCAGTGGCTTGACTGCCACCGTAGCTGCCATATGCCCCAGGAGCCTCTGAAATTGTTTCAGTGGGACCACCACCCTGCTCTTGACGTTCCTGCATGAGGCATGCTGTCTGTTCGACCGAGTCAAACTCCATACCGAGAAAAGAGATCCTCTGCGTCGGGGAGAGTTTTCTCTTTTCTCAGTTGACCCGAAGGCCCAACAGGCTGAGGTGTGAGAGCACCAAATCCCTGTGTTCACACAATTAATCCTGAGACTGAGCAAGTATGAGCCAGTCGTCGAGGTAGTTGAGAATGCGAATATCCTGTTCTCTCAGGGGAACAAGGGGTACCTCCGCAACTTACGTGAAGACACGGGGCAACAGGGACAGCCTGGAGGGCAGGACCTCGTACTGATATACTCGTCCTTCGGACGCGAACCACAGCAATGGTACCACCGACCGAGAGGACAGTGGCGGAAAAAGATGAAAAGATTCTCCGCCCGGCCCTCGTCCGTGGGAGGGAGTGGTGTGCTTACCATCTCCTGATGGTAAAGGCCGGCCTGGTCAAAAATCGTGTCTTGTCCGTCTCGCGCATGTCAGCCTGTCACAGCCAGAAATGGCGCTCCTGGACCACCATAGTGGACATCGCACGACCCAGAGACCGCGCCGTAACCTTCGTCGCTCGTGCCATCCATGACCTGTTGAGTTCCTCATGCACCTCCGGGAAGAAAGACACCGAGGCGGGATACTGAGAACCAGCGCGGACCACCCCGAGAACTAATCGTGCAACCTTGAGGGCTCGGGACACGGTGAAAGTCTCCACTCGAGCCCTACCCCTACGGCGGCCCGGGAAAGCATCGCCATTATTTCTGGATCCGATTCAGGCATTGCTACAGTCCCGGAGGAGAGTAGCGCAGCCGAATCTTCCTCTCCAGAAAGCTCTGGCTCACCCTCCGATGCAGCAATCGACGTCTGGTTGTTGGGAGGAGTGCCAAAGGATACAGCTGGTGCGCTCCTTGTAGAGGGCCCAGCACGTTCCAATGACAGCTCAACTGGCTGCGGAGTGCCTAAGACTGCCTGTGCTACTGCCTGAAGAAGCCCCCCCTGGCTGCCGCCATGAGGAGAACTAGATCAAGGCAGAGGCAACGGAAC